CGAGCACCTTTCTCAGATTCTCCAGGCTTTAAAACTGTGTCAACTGTTGTACTCTAACGAGTATTGGTGCTCTGTAGGTAGTGAGAAGGTTGCAACAGTTGAGATTTCACACTGCAACTGAAACCAGTGTGTGCTGAAAAGACAAAACGGACATTTCATCTTCTGCACCCTGATGGGAGTCCTCAGCGGTGCACAGCTCACAAATCCCTTGAGCGATTCAAACGTGCAATCTTACGGTTGAATACTAAGCCAGTGAGCCAAGCCCGATACGTTGCTTGATGGATGTGCACTCGGACGATGGAAAGCACCAAAGTCACTAAATCGCTCAGTCTGTCGTCAGACAGTCAGTATTTTGGTCACGCTAGGTTTGGAATCATGCTGAGCGGTTACATCGTCCGTTGGAGAGACGATAAGTGAACTACTCGGCCTCTTCTTGGATAAGAGGAATTTCGTATCATATCTTGGCTGACGGAAACTAACCTAATGAGTAGTCTAGAAGACAACCCTGTCAAAAGGGCTCACTTGAACGGAGTACTATTATGTAGACGTGAAGCACTATTTTTGAGGTTGCTGGAAGCTCTTCGACAGCCCGCGACCGGTTTCGCTCTTCTTGGGGCTCATCAGGTAGGCGCAGTCCCCGAGTTTCCATCAACCTTGTGTTGTACTTGAAACCAAACTGCACGAAATTACCGCCGACCTGATGAGCCTCAAAAAGGGCGAAACCGTTCATGGGCTGTCGAAGAGTTTTCAGCAACCTTGTGAGTAGCTCCCTTCAGAACTAATACACTGATTTGCACATCAGTTTGGTGTTGCCGGAAGACTCACCCGGAACCCAGCTGTTCCATACTTATTTCGTCTAAGTGCAGGCAAACTGGAATGGTGTGCAACAAGGGAAGTTCATGCGTGCGGTTTTTTTACTGGCCATGCGATCATACGTTTCCACTTCAGACCACCGTCAACAACCAAGCAAATTCAAGGGTAAAGTTAACGCAACTCAATCCACCTTCACAATGCAAGGTTTTTCGTAGGCCGTGCTGTTTCACCGACCCAGTTCACCGAAAGCTACCTTGTTCCACAAACAACACACAAACTTAGATATGCTCATGTATGTTCAGATTCGATCGATAAAGCGAACGAAACGTGTCTTATTGAATCTAACTTGACGCCTTGCTAATGCCCTTATTCTCTTGCTTACTCCGCTGGTGTACGTATCGATCTGTACCTGTTTTGCTCCTGTGTAATCGCCACTCACCTTGCCGCAAAAGTTCCTCTGTGTCCGACACTGGTACACTAGGGTATCACTGATCTTATCCGCACGTTTTTGGGCCCATCTGCTGGGCCTCTCTGACCTAGCCTGTCGCGGTTTCCTTGTGATTCCTTAGCCAATCAGAATCACGAGACTGGCCTCGCGAGTGAAGGCCACCCACGCTACCACGCC